GGAAAGAAACAATATGGAAATGGAATCAGGATTGCACGTTCTCGTTCAAGCGTATGAAAAAGTGTTTAATGAACTATCCGGTTTTGAAAGTTGTTGATCCTTCCTTGCCCTTCGTTGTGACAACTGACGCTAGTCAATATGGGATTGGGGCCGTACTCCAACAGGATGATGAAAATGGATACAGGCCCATGAAGTTTATGTCCCGACGACTGCCTAATGAGAAGGTCATCACTTCCACGTATGAGATAAAGTTATTCACCCTCCAGGAAACCTTGGGTCATTGGCAACATTACATGAGGTCACCACTTTAAAGTGTATTCAGACCATGAGGCACTTCGCCGGTTGAAAACGCATGCCCGAATGACACATAAATTGACGAAGTGGGCTGCAGAAATTAACCAGTTTAATTTCGAGTTAAAGCCAATTAAGGGGAAATGTAATGTTGTTGTTGATGCATTAAGTCAAAGATCGGACTTTTTCGGTGCAATTGTTACGTATTTGGATATAGGCACTGAATTGCAAGAGAAGATTAGAACTGCATATGCTACCGATCCTATCTATAGTATTTTGTTAAAGAAATTACAGGAAGCGCCTCACAAATTTCCAGACTTCCAAGTTGCCTAGGGACTACTGTTTGAGAAGACGAACGTACATGATAGGCTTACAGGAAGCGCCTCACAAATTTCCAGACTTCCAAATTGCCTAGGGACTACTGTTTGATAAGACGAACATACATGATAGGCTATGTATTCCGAATAAAGAAGAAATTAAGAGTTGATCACGGGTGAGTGTCATGATACAGAGGGTCATTTTGGATGGAGGAAGACTTACGCTAATCTCCTACGATCCTACACTTGGCCTGGAATGAAGCATGACTGCATATCATATGTGCAAGGCTGCCAAGTTTGTTAACGGAACAAAAGTTCTACACAACCTCCCCTTGGTCTATTGAAACCTTTGCCTATTCCGTCAGGTCCAGGAGACTCAGTGTCCATCGACTTTATGGACACCAAAGTCAAAAGCAGGAATGGAAACAATCCGGTTATGGTAATCGTTGACAAGTTTAGCAAATTCGTCGTGTTTGTGCCACTTCCCGCGGAAGCCAGATCAGATTTAGTGACCCGAGAATTCTTTAATCATTGGGTGAGAGATTACGGACATCCCTTGACTATTGTGAGTGACAAAGATACTCGCTTTACAGGTGAACATTGGCAGCAACTAATGCATGTGTATGGCTCTAAACTAACAATGTCCTCAGGAAGACATCTTGAGACTAATGGACAAACTGAGCAAATGAACAACGTACTACAACAAACGCTCCGTATGTACATACGCCTCGACCAGATTGATTGGGATGAACATCTGTCCAAAGTTGCTAGTGCCTATAACAACTCTGTACATTTGTCAACATCTAGAACTCCGACAGAGTTGCATTTGGGATGGCGACCTCGAAGACCCATAGATTGTTTGAATCCAGATCAGATGCAAAGACTTCCGCCAGGAATTAGAGAATTTGCTGTGCAATGTCAAAAAGATAAGGTTAAAAAAAGAATAAATAAAGCACAATATCAAATGATAGAACAGGCAAATAAACATCGAAGACCCTATCAATTTGCTGTAGGAGATTTGGTATGGGTAAAGTCACAAGGAATTTATCCATGAAGAGAATATCTCCCAGAAGTTACTACCACCCTACAGAGGGCCTTGGCAAGTATTGGAGGTAATAGGAGGAGTGGACGGGCCATCGTATGTTATAGAAATTCCTCCTCATTTGCATACATATCCGGTGTTCCATGCGTGACCTTGCGTCACTAATGAACTGTTTCCCAGTCGAAGGTCTGCAATACCACCAGATATGAATAAGAGATATGATGTCGACAGAATAGTTGCTGACGCAATCTTCAGAACTGGACACAGAGGTGCCAGCGGCAATACAAAGTAAAATTTCCATACCAAGAACCAACAGAAGATCGCTGGTTTACAAGAGAGGAATTAATTAAAACAGCACCGAATATTGTATCCTACTATGAAAGAGCAAGAAGAGGAATTAACATAGTAGACAGGTAAAAATGATGTTCCTCAGAGGACTTCGAAATTAGGCCGGCGAGAGTGAAAGGGCCTTCACAATTCAGACCCCGAATTCCGACCCCAATACAACGAGGCCCAGTCGGCCAGGTCCAGAAGTTACGAATCAGCATTTCAAAAGACAAGTCTCCTGAGGCAGAGGTCGCGTCCAGAGTTACGAAAAGTCACTTTGGAGTCCAGTCCAACAGGAACCTAGTAAATAGTCACCTCTTAGGAGCAAGAATCACGCCTCAGAATGAAAAGTCATATTGAAGAGTCACATCCCACGAGTCCTAGAAGGTAAGGGTCGTGTCCCATGGGCAGGAGTCACAGTCCACAGTCAAGAGTCATGATCACAAATGAAAAGACATGACCCAAAGACCCAAGCAGCAGCAGACCCATGGACATTCGGGAAGGTTCTAGGCCTTGACATTCAGAAGCAGACAGGCCGTGGGAATGTGGTACCGGAACCAGTCAGGCCCCAGGAAACAGAGGCTGGCACGAGTTGAAGTGCATCCAAGACTACAAAAGGACTGGCCAGCCTACCATTCGGGCAGATGTTCATTCGCACGAGAGTGTGGAAGTGCTAGTGCACTTGTGCGCAAGTGTGGGGAACTGCGCTATGCCAGAGAGCAGTGCCAAGTGAGATGAGAGAGAGGAAGAAGGGCGCTGGCAGGGAAGAAGGCAGCCATAGCTGCACCAGCACTAGAAAGCTTAGAATTAGTAGTTAGACATAGCAGGACAGTGAGTAGTATTCAGAGTTGATCCTCATGTGTGTGTTAGTAGAAGGGAGTGTGCAAGTAGAGAAGACGAAGACTGTATAGAGTGGAGACCAGAGCCATCAAGCGAGACAGAAAGATAAGAGGGAGAGAGAATGAGCTATGGTGGATACTTACCTGAAGAGCGCTGAACTTGGTGTGGATGACGAGCGCTGATGCGCGCAGATGCTAAGGCTCTTGATGTTTGAAGAAGACTTGAAATCTTGCTGGGCGCTGGACAGTTGAACTCATGATTTTCTTTCTATAATCTGAATGTGGTAATTCTGGTTGAGATAATTGAGCTGCGTTTTTCTGGTCTACTACCTACCTTCTCTTTGTGCAAAGACAATCTGTGTGACAAGTATGCCGGTGTGTGCACCCCATCGTGTGGTGAGCATTGAGGCTCATTACGCATGCATCTATACCGGAGAAAATTCCACGAATGCACATGTAAAATATAGAAATGAGAAAAAAAAGAACAAAAAAAGTAAAAAAAAACTTTTTAAAGAAACACAGAAAAAAGAAATGAATACAGAAATGCTTATTGAGATGTTTACCACTACTACAGAACTAAGAGATGTTCTTCATTTCGCCCCGCCCCCTATACGGGAGAAAATTCCACGAATGCACATGTAAAATATAGAAATGAAAAAAAAAAAAAAAAAAAAAAAACTTTTAAAGAAAACACAGAAAAAAGAAATGAATACAGAATGCTTATTGAGATGTTTACCACTACTACAGAAGTAAGAGATGTTCTTCATTTCGCCCCGCCCCCCCCTCCCTCTGAACAGTCACAGGGGCGGGGCTCCACGTCATGAAGTAGGTCTTGGAGGCCTGACTGCCCTTGAATCTGGATCTCTGCCATGTTGTATTTTTGCCTTGGGCGCTGGGCCCTGACAAAAAGACGTTTCTTTTTAATAATAAAAGGTAAGAGCTCCCCGTGGCTCCAGCAGAGAGTGAAAGGCTTTTCTTTTCGCAAAAAACATTGTGTGAAAGTGCAAGGAGAATGCCAGCCATGCAGATCATGGAACATAGCTTGCAGATGAAAAACATTGACAAAGACAAAGCCAAAAAAAAAAAAAAAAAAGAGAGGACAAGAAGAAAAGAAGACGACCACGAAGAAGAAGAAGAATTTGAAAAAGCGAGGCCAATCGATCAGCGTCTGCGCATAGAAAGTCAGAAAACCGTCCAGCACCTACACAGACATAACAAGCTCGAAAACGCGCACATACCCCGACGCTTTTCGCCTGGCTGCGCTCCAGGACTTACCAAGGGGCAAACCACTCTCCCACATCCACCTGACCGTCCACCCGAGAAGAAGAAGAAGGCGATGACGACAACGAAGACGAAGAAGACGAAGAAGACGAAGACGAAGACAAAGAAGACGAAGACGAAGAAGAAGAAGAAGAAGAAGAAGAAGAAGAAGAAGAAGACTAAGAAGAAGAAGAAGAAGAAGAAGAAGAAGAAGAAGAAGAAGAAGAAGAAGAAGAAGAAAGAAAGACAATGCCACAGTTCAAAGAGAGGTGGCTTTTTATCAACAGTGAGGAGTGGGGAAAGCACCAGAAAAGGAGGGTAAAGCAGTCGACAGAAGGGTACCTTCTTTTTTCCCCTTCTGTTGCCCGCTTTTTCGTTTTTTGGTTTTCCGTTTAGGTTCCTGTTCCGGATTCCATTTCACCTTTTTTTTCCCCTAAAGCAGAAAAGGAAAATAAACGGAAAACCCAAACTGCCGGGTAAACCGGGCAGAGGAGTACGGCCAACTAGACAAGTAAACGGAAAACCAAACGGCCAACTAGACAGAGGAAACTAAACGGATTTCCATGTCTAGTTGGTAAAGCGGGCAGAGGAGTACGCCTAACTAGAAACATGGAAATCCATAACAGGAAACTAAACGGGGAAAAAAAAAAAAAAAAAAAAAAAAAAAAAAAAAAAAAAAAAACGAAAAACCAAAAAAAAAAAAAAAAAAAAAAAAAAAAAAAAAAAAAAAAAAAAAGAAGAGTACACACCACGAAAAATAGCAAAACAAACTGCCGAAGCACCTCTCAAGCCCCGACATTGAATTTCACTCACCCCCACTTTCCCTCTCTATTCGAAACACCTTTCACGGAGTCTTGGAGGCCACAGCCCAATCCCTTCCTTTTCCCTCCCTTTTCTTTCCATTCATTCAAAAACAAAACTGAGTCTTTTTCCATCCATTCATTGAAAAAATACATTGAAAAAATAAACTGAGTTCCAGACTCCCTGCAATAGGTGGATTCAGCAATTCATGTTTCTTTAAGGATAGAAGGAAAGTCGGAATCTCTCTCTCTCTCTCTCTCTCTCTCTCTCTCTCTCTCTCTCTCTCTCTCTCTCTCTCTCTCTCTCTCTCCCACACACACTATTTTGACACGCAACCATATGACCCTCAACCACACCTTACCTGACAGCCACATCCGCCAACACTCACACACACATTCACAACCAGATCATAGAAAACGAACGAAACCACGTCCTTCTCCTTACTTCCAGCATGAGGTGATCGACCAAAGTTAACAGTTGAATGACACTCTTCACTTGCAGACACAGGTGCCCCACGAACACAAATGGAAACGGAAGGACTCTACCACTGCATAGAAAATATAAGCCAATCTACAATCCTCTCTGTCGGATATGACAAGCCGGGCATTTGAGCGGCGATCCAAGCTCTCTTTCCGATTTGCTGCAGCTGGCCCAACTGCTGAGCGAGAGGTATATCGATCATCTTTGTAATCTCTGCGCGGAAATTCTTCACTCAGAAGAGGATATGTACGCATCAGCTCTCGCGGATTCGTTGCACCTGGTCCAGCTCCTCCTACTGCTCCTACTTCTGCTGCTGTCTGCTGCTGTCTGCTGCTGCTGCTGTTGCTACTGCTACTGATCAATCACCTGTTAGCTGCGCCCCTGTGCTGACCCATGTCATCACTAGGACGAGGACGTGGATGCCACGTCTGTCATCCACTGTTCAGGTGGCGTCTGCTGCGTGCTCTGCTGCACCGGGTAGTATGCATAATGCAAGTCGTTGACGTCATTCCTGGGAATCTTCTCCCACCCATTTGGCCCCAATGTGGTACACCGACACCGACCGTTCCTCGACTCGCAGCATCTCTAAAACCCCATGCCATCACTAGTACGAGGACGTGTTCAACGTCTGTCATCGACTGTTCAGGTCTGCTGCGTGCTCTGTACAGCGTAGTAGACATACTGCAAGTCGTTGACGTCATCCCTGAGAATCTTCTCCCACCCATTTGGCCCAAATGTGGTACACCGACACCGACCATTCCTCCGCTCGCAGCATCTCTCAAAACCTCATGTCATCACTAGGACGAGGACGTGGATGCCACGTCTGTCATCGACTGTTCAGGTGGCGTCTGCTGCGTGCTCTGCTCAGGGTAGTAGGCATAATGCAAGTCGTTGACGTCATCCCCTGAGATCTTTTCCCACCCATCTGGCCCAATGTGATAGACGCTGACCGTTCCTCCGCTGGCCGCATCTCGAAATGTGGCATGATAAATGGCTCTTCGGCCGAGCTCGCACGCCGCCTCCTTTTTCAGATCCCACTTGTACCCGGTGTCCAGCACACCGTACGCGTAGGTGGAACCCGATCCCACAGAGAATCTTTGGCCCTTAAGCCGAGCCCCATCGCTGTCGATGTAGTAAACGTTGGGCCCACTGTCGTCCCAGCCTGCAATCATGGTACCCATGGAAAGTCCCATTCCGCGATAAGAGAAGAGGATGTTGGCGAGGAGTTTAGAAGCGCCGGCGATGGAGATGCGCTTCTTGTGGCTCAGCTCGTGAAGGCGGCAACGGAGGCCAAGGTTTCGCTGCCAGAACTGGCAGTCGGCAGCACCTCCAGCCATCGTTCCAAGAAGATAAGGGTTGATCTCAATGACTTTTTTGACCGTCTGAGAGGAGATGTAGGGGCCCATACTGGCGCGGGAGTCGACGGCCACAACCACACCATCCTTGTAGATGAAAGCGAGGGTGGTGGTCCCCTTACTGGGCTTCACCATATCCACAGCAGACTTCTCAAAGGCATCCAGATCAGCAACCTGGGGCAGCTCCAGCTGGCAGGGGACTGTCTGCTCAAGCAGACCCGTCATCACATCCTCTTCAGCACCCAACCCCGGGAGACGATTACGACATAGAGTCGGCGGATCAAGGCAGCTCAGATCGGTCCTCATCGTGCTCTCTCTCCTCTCTTCTCTTCTTGCTTTCCTT